CTAACTCTTTTTCTGCGGCAGCTAACTCCTTCTGTGCTTCTTTTTTCTCTTTTTCCTGTAATATGTAAATACTTGTTACTTCGTAACAATGAAGGAGGGTAACTGCTGCTCGCCAAAATGCCAAGCAAATACCGCTTCCTATCTGAAGGATTAAACTGGTTTAGAGATCGCAAGCTAACGAAACTTGAAATTGAATTTTGAATCGATACTGGTCAGTCAAAAGAAACAAGAAACTGAGCATAAACTCTACTCGAAACATTTTTTCGTTCTTTTTTCGCTCACTCAGCAGTGTTATTTTTTCTTCCAATTTCTTCCGTTCCATGGCGCCATTTTCCACTGTTTCACGATACTGTGGCAATTCCTTAAAATACTGTGACTAAAAAAAAACGATTAAAAAAAAAAAGAAAAAAAAAAGAAATTTTCACGCCATTTTACTCGCTATGGGAGACAGAAACACCATAGTGAAAACACACTACCAGCAGCAACTATCGGCTGGCAAGGCTCTAATGGCTTCTTCCGAGAGTTGTGTGGAAGACAAATGACTGTTTCAACGCCCTGGCAAAAACCTTTACCAATTTCCCACTATACCAAAGTACCAAAACAAGAACAGATTGACCATCTACAGGTTCGAATTATTGAATTATGTCAAGAACATTTCTGTGAAATTTCAGCTTTCCAACTTCTGTGGTTACTATGTTAAAAAACTCGAAAAATACAGACACCCACACAGTGCAAAAAAAAACCCCTGCAAGTTCTTAGATACTAATCAAATTTAGGTGTTTCCTTTCTTTATTTATTTTTCCACTTATTTACTTTACAAAAATTCAAAAAAGTAGAAAGCCGCTCGATATACCGCTTCAATGTCAGCAATTTCATTGCGTAGTATCTGAGCGGCACTGTGCTTCAAGCTCTCATGGATCGCTTGTAGGCGCCTAGAGTATTGTCCATGCTGGCCACTCAATTCCGAATACTGCTGTCGAATCGGCGCAAGCGCTTTTAACCGCTCTGGAGGTAGATTCATGTAATCGTGAAATCAAGCTTAAAGGGAAAAAAATTTCGCTTTTTGCCTTCCTTTCCTCCTTCTTCCCTTAATTCCTTTACATAAATTCTGCTGGTATCATACACCCTTCCTCTCCCACTCCCCTCCCCGCCCGAGTTCCTCTCCACCTTCTGTCTATGCACACAGCTTAAAGATAAAATATGACTTCTTTCCTTCCTCCACGTCCCTCAAAAGCTAACTGCAGCAAGTCCATGACGTTCGTGCTTAACTATTCTTACAGCTCCGACATTACTTTTTGCTACTACAATCCAGCGTCAGTATAAAAGCTTAGCTGAAAAACTTGTAGGCAGATTTTGTCAGTTAGCAGGTCCACTAAAAAAGATGTGTAATTCAAATTTGGTCTGCGAATCCTAAACTTTCATGTGCACCTTAAGGTTTCCTTCATTAAGTTACACCAAAATGGTTTTTCTGTCTAAAAATTCATGAAATATTTAGCTGGAAAAAGCGCAAGAAAAAAAAATACACTGTACCATCCAGATCACGCAGTCGATGGTCGATTTCCGTGAGACGATCGATGTTGTTCAAAGTAGCGTCCAAAGAAGCCAACAAAGCAGTTTTATTACCACGGGAACCTGCAAAAATACACATTTTTAGCACTGTTAAAGAAAATTAGTTCCACTAAAAATACATATTTTAAAAAAATAACGACATCAGAAAAGAAACAGTGAAAACAAACCGCCTGTGAGCACGCCTCCAGGATTGAAATCCGAGCCAGCCAACGAGACTGATCTAGCACTGATTTGCGGATCGAATGTTACCTCAAACAGGTAAAATTTATGTTAAATTTCCACCAGACTGTAGTCGAAAAAACAGTCTGCCTATCAACGATAGTCCATCTGGCCCTTTTCTATATCAAAAAATCGGTAGAAGTCCAAAATAATACTGAAATCTAAGTCTAGTTGCGTAAAAATCGTAATCTTTCCATAAAGAGAAAACATTGTTTAGCAACCGTTCAAAGCAACAGTAGTATTTGTCAGACAGAGTCAGGATGCAGCGATTTGTGACGCTGTTCACATGCTTGAGCTAGACCACTATGTATATTTTCTGAAAATGCCGCTGCACAGATCAGTTTCACAAACATTCGCTTATCTCGTTATATGAAATTCCGCATGATGCCAAAATTAGGTCAATTTTAGCAGATCTTTGAAAAGCCACTGTATTTTCATTGCTGATGGATATTTCTGGCAAGAAAACATGCAAGTATTAATGAATACCCCGTCTCTTTCATAATAGGAGTAATAAAAGAGAAATTTTACAATCATGATTCTGATTCTGAACTTTTAAAAATGCATTTCGATTTTTAACACCTCGACTAATCCAAAATTGCGTAATCTCAGTTCTATCCCCACTAGAGATGACTTTCCTCCATTGTGAGATGATGTGTACGGAGAACAAGTCAAAAGCGTCAGAGCAAGTCAGAAAGATCCAAAAACGATTAGCAGCGAGTTCCCTCACCCCTTCCCTTCCCCT